GATAGATAGATAGATAGATAGATAGATAGATAGATAGATAGATAGATAGATAGATAGATAGATAGATAGATAGATAGATAGATAGATAGATAGATAGATAGATAGATAGATAGATAGATAGATAGATAGATAGATAGATAGATAGAGGGAGGGAGGGAGACCTTTATGACTGCTGCTGTAATTGTGAACAGTAAAACAAGTAGCAAGTCAAATTAAACATTCAGTAGCCTGTAAGAGACACTATTATTGCTATAAACAGAAAGTGCTGAGTTTATTAAAACAATCCCCAATGCTAAAGTACAGTGCTAGTATTGCATACAGTGCTAGACTTTCATACAGTGCTAAACTTTCTTACAGTGCTAGATTTATTTAGAGTGCTAGACTTTCATACAGTGCTAGAATTTCAAACAGTGCTAGAGTGGGAGTTATTGTCTAACAGAATAACAATACATGCAAGTCGCAAACAGTCAGTGTCTTCGTGTGCACGTACAAACGATCCTGTACTCTGGCAGTGGCGAGGTATAAGGCGGACACTCAGTATTGCTATATCTTGGTACCTCAGGGTCATGATGTAGATTTCTTTTGATGATCAATGTGTGTTTTTATAAATATTTCCAGAGTGGAGATGCATAAAAGGTTAAAGTGTAGATAAAATCGACTCTGGCCATATATTTCAACAAACATCACTAGAGTGTGCTCGCACATGCAATGAGACGATTCACCTATTTTCAACAAACAAAGTTAGAGTGCTGATACAAACACCCATAGAGTGTACACAGAGAAAATATGCGCATGTGTGTATACATATATATACGTCCAGAGAGGCGTAGTATACTTTTTAAAAAGTCCACAAAGACAAACATGTATCAGGTACAATCAAGATAAACATATCGGGTACAGTCAAGATAAACATGTCAGGTACAATCAAGATAAACATATCAGGTACAATCAAGATAAACATATCAGGTAGAATCAAGATAAACACATCAGGTACAATCAAGATAAACATATCAGGTACAATCAAGATTAACATATCAGGTACAATCAAGATAAACATATCAGGTACAATCAAGATAAACATACATGTTTGAAACAAACCGTCAAGAAGCATACCTCTTTAAGATAAGCAGTTATGGTTTTATGTACAAGAGGAAGGTTAGGTGAAACATAATTATACAAGGTCCGACAATTAGGTAATGAGACTAAATCCATAAAAATTAAAATAATCAACAGTTGCAGATATAACCTGCTTTTTTTATTCAAAGTGAGCCCCTTGTGTATTGATACAGCCAGTAGCACCATCTAACAAACACTGGAACGACCTCTGTAGTTCTTCTTTTGCTATGGCCCTTAAAGTTGATGTTACGGCCCTTTGAATGACATCAATACGTCAAAGAAGCGTCCTTTCAATGGTAACTTTAATTTTGGTAATATAAAACAATCACAGGGGGATAGATCTGGGGAATATGGTTGATAGTTGAGAACACACACTAGGGGCCAAAAATTCCTGTTTTGATGATGCCTCGTGGGTATTCAACCCGCTAATGTTTTTGGTCATCAGACAACGAATGCGGTACAAACCTGCAAGCAACTTTTGGTATGTCAAAATCTTGCACTAAAGTTTTAGGAAAGGTCTCTCTATTACCACTAAATTCATCTGCCGTCATCCTCACAGTAAAACAACGATCTTCTTGTATCTGTTCTGTGACTTTTGCAATGAATTCATCATTACAAACAGAAACTGGGCGTCCAGGTCTAGTTGCATTAGTAATCATTTCTACACCACTTTTGAATAGCGAATACCAGCTGAAAAACTGCACGAGATAAACAATTGTCCCCATAAACTTGACACATCTGTTCAACTGTCGCAATGGCTCTCTCCGAGATTTAAACAGAATTGAATGTAAGCTTTTTTTTTTTTTTTTTGCTCTGTGCTAATTACGTAAAATTGCATCTCTGACTAGGCTAACAAAATGGCGGCTTGTTTGTTATCGTGGAGATAAAAAGTTGCTAGATCATAGACGAAGGTTGCCTCTTTGGATTCCATGCTGTGATTCACATACGGCGTTTTCGTTTTAGCCATAATGAAATCATTACTTAATTGTCAGACCTTGTAAATGACGTCTAGACTAGAACCAACGGTACAGACTGATAGTACTTGTACCTGGCATATGACTAGACTAGAACCAACTGTACAGACTGCTAGTACTCGTACCTGGCATATGACTGGACTAGAACCAACTGTACAGACTGATAGTACTTGTACCTGGCATATGACTAGACTAGAACCAACTGTACAGACTGATAGTACTTGTACCTGGCACATGACTAGACTAGAACCAACTGTACAGACTGCTAGTACTCATACCTGGCACATGACTAGACTAGAACCAACTGTACAGACTGCTAGTACATGTACCTGGCACAGGACTAGACTAGAACCAACTGTACAGACTGCTAGTACTTGTACCTGGCACATGACTAGACTAGAACCAACTGTACAGACAGCTAGTACTCATACCTGGAACAGGACTAGACTAGAACCAACTGTACAGACTGATAGTACTTGTACCTGGCACAGGACTAGACTAGAACCAACTGTACAGACAGCTAGTACTCGTACCTGGCACATGACTAGACTAGAACCAACTGTACAGACAGCTAGTACTTGTACCTGGCACAGGACTAGACTAGAACCAACTGTACAGACTGCTAGTACTCGTACCTGGCACATGAGTAGACTAGAACTAACTGTACAGACTGCTAGTACTCGTACCTGGCACATGAGTAGACTAGAACCAACTGTACAGACAGCTAGTACTCGTACCTGGCACAGGACTAGACTAGAACCAACTGTACAGACAGCTAGTACTCGTACCTGGCACAGGACTAGACTAGAACCAACTGTACAGACTGCTAGTACCTGTACCTGGCATATGACTAGACTAGAACCAACTGTACAGACTGATAGTACTTGTACCTGGCACAGGACTAGACTAGAACCAACTGTACAGACTGCTAGTACCTGTACCTGGCATATGACTAGACTAGAACCAACTGTACAGACAGCTAGTACTCGTACCTGGCACAGGACTAGACTAGAACCAACTGTACAGATTGATAGAACTCGTATTTGGCACACGTTTAGATTAGGACCAACTGTACAGACTGCTAGTACTCGTACCTGGCACACGTCTAGACTAGAACCAACTGTACAGACTGATAGTTCTCGTATCTGGCACAGGACTAGACTAGAACCAACTGTACAGACTGATAGAACTCGTATTTGGCACACGTTTAGATTAGGACCACCTGTACAGGCTGCTAGTATTCGTATCTGGCACACAAGAAATTAATTCCATGGCAGAAGATACTTTGGTATGTATGAAGTGCTGTCACCTCACACATGCGAACATGTACGTTTTGATAAGTATTGATAATTCAGGTGTCCCTCGTTTTTTTATTTCCTGCCGTAATTACCTCCAAACAAGACCTTTAATGCTTACGTCACCAGAAGCTGGGTTCTATCCTCGAGTCCCAGTAGACTTAAGTATTAGTCTGGAATACGACAGTTATCAGTTTACTGGGCTGTTTATTATCGATTTTCATAATACTGTGTGTTTTTGACAGGTGAGCCCAAAACTGATTGCAGCATCTTGGAGTTTTTCTGACGCCACAAGTAGACTCTCATTTGAGCTACTTCTGAACCAAATGATACCAGCCTGTCTGCAGTAGAATTGCTTTTACTCTCTAACAAGATAACGTGTCAATACATTTCTTGATTCGACCAGTTAGCATCTCCTGTACGCTGGCTGCATCTAACTATATATGCACTTGCCTCTCTGAATTGTTTATTTAACATCAGTTGTATCTTTTTTTCTGTAAAGAATGAACACTGTAATCGGTTCTTCACACAGAGCTCTACACAAACCATCCATTCTAAGCAAGTCATCTGACTGACCATCTTCTGAAATCTCTGATCCTAAACAAGTGAGTAAGTTGTAAAGTTTTACAAACACTGGTGTTAACCATCTCCACACAAGCCCCCAGTGTGGTCTTGTGGTCACGTTTGCTTGCTGGTACCTTTCCCAATATACAGACACTGGATGGGAATCATAGTTCATGACGATGGCGAGTGTCACCAACAAAGACCAGTTGGCATTTAGAAACATTTACGAGGTGCATGGAATTTCACAGCCAGTGATGCCATCCCGTGTACTTGACAGGCTTCTGTTCAGACACCCAGCCCTTAACCTGTCTGTAGTCGTCTTCTCTTCTGTCCCTGCTTCATTCCTGTCCCCCTCAGTGCAACACGATCATTGGCATCCTGTTCTTATATAATCAGGTTAGCAACCTGTAAACAAACCTCCACTTTAAATTTGCTCACACGTGGCCATCTGTGTAAAACACCCTATTGTATACGTGGCCATCTGTCTGAAACACCCTATTGTATACGTTGCCATCTGTGTGAAACACCCTATTGTATACGTGCCGCTAGGTCGACTTTTTTCATCTTTGAAAATTGATTGCTGATTGAAAAATCGCCGCATAAACGCTCGAGACAGATACTGGTAGAAGGCTGATGAAATATACAACATAATCAATAAGGCTGAAAATAATGATGAAATGATTAACACATCAAAGACCGGTGTTTGGCCACAAATGTAAAAGAAAGTCATTTGCCAGATGGTTTTGTAGAGTATTTTTGTGAAACAGCAGAAAGTTAACATTAGGTTTTGGTAACGCCTGTTTCTTCTTTTTTTAAATCTTTATTGCCATCAGTTTCACAAACACGTTGCTAATAATGAAGCTGTGTTGCCTTCAGGATGCCACTAACCTGCAGACATGTATAAGCTCAGGCAGACCTCTGTATAACTGTAATGCACTCCATGCAGTTCTTGAGAGTCTGGGACTATGATTCAATACAGATAATAATCACTACCACATTGAAGGGCATCATGTGCAATGTCTTTAAGATAATTAATAAATAGAACACTGGCTTAACTTCTTAAAGACTCTAATCTCTCTTTATCGCGTATCTGGTTTTGTGAGGAAGAAGTGGCGAAGTCTGCAGAGTTATCGCTGTTGTCATCAGAGGTGTAGCTCAGTCTCATCCTCCACCTGCCGTTGTGGTGGGGCTGGCAGCGCTGAGTCTGGTCATGCTCGTGGGAGGTGGAGTTCAGATCGTTGACTCTAAGGTCTAGCTTATGTCTCAGTGAAGCCATGGATGCTGCGCTGTCCCGGTTGTCGGTGTACACCGAAGAGCGAGCACTGCAGTCGCTGTAGTGGAAAGCTCCTGTGCTGATGCTACTACTGCTGCTGCAACTTCGCGTGTGTGGTCTCATCACGACGTTTGATCCGTTGTTGCCGCTACCACAAGCCATGTAGTAATCACCGTCAGAAGTGAAAGCACCAGCCGGTTCATTTACAGGCGGTCCGTACCAACTACCCCGCTCCCATCGCTCTATAGGTCTAGATGTTCTTCGAAACTTAGGAGGCGGGTCTATCTTTGGCGCGCCCCCACCAAACGAAGACATTCCAGACGGGGGTGAATGCGACACAGAAGAAAATGACCCGGAAGAAAACACTTGTGCGTGCTGAAAAGAAGTGGACAATCTGCAGTCCATTTTCTGTGAACTGGATGACGCTGGGGATGCAAGTGGCGAGATTAGCTTGACCTTATCTGATGCTTCTTTCTTGTGTGGAGACGACTGAGACGGACTCTTGTACAAGTTTGGACAGCGACACATGAAGGGATCTGACATATATGCAGGTGAGGAGGAAGCATGTGGAGCAAAGCGGAAGTTCCCTGGGTGGTCAATGCTACTAGTACTTCCAGCCTTCAGTGTGCTGCTTTTGCTGGGAGATGAAGACTGGGGCGAGGAGGAGGAGCGTGCTGTATGCGTCAACCAATCATTGTTATCACTTCGGCTTGAGTCGTGTGAGGACAGAGAGGACAACCCATAAGGGTTCAGCCAGCCACTCGTATCTCCGCCATTCAAGCTGTATGTTAGGCTCTCGGAAGACATTTCTTTATGACCACTGTCTGGCGAATCAGCATCAAGAACCGCAGCTTTTGTATTGGTGAATGTGCTAGCCCCACCCATCATGCTGTGATCTATATAATGACTGGAAGGTCTCAAGTCTGGCAAACAGACGGGGGCGGGGCGTGGTGTTGTAGCATCTGGTAGAGTGCAAATCTGGAGACATAGTGAGTGGAACGAACTTGAATATAGTTTTTGTCTATCATGCCTGGAAAAAAAGGGAGGTACATGCGTGGTAGGTGTAAGACAACATCATGGACAGATCAAGATTTTTGTGATAAAATGAAACAGAGTGTTAACACGTACACATTATAGAATGCTGACATTGTGACAGACAGAAACAAAAAAAATGACTCTAGGACATGGAAATGATCACGTATTTTAACAATTGTAGAATTATAGTAAGTTCTGCTGGCAGTAAAGAGACTGTGATACTAAAGTTTGGTAGACAGGCTGGGATGATAAAGACACGATCAGATGATCAAACAGGTGAAAAGCGGACTAACTGATTATGATCATGTTAGTGATAGTTTAGTGACAAGTAAATGTGATATCGTTTTGAAAAAATGATAGAAATACCGGAATTCGATTAGGGGAAAATAAAATAATGCAGGGGAGATCGTTATATGACTACGAGCATACAACACAAAATGGTAGATTTGATAAGAAGATAAGGTCTATGAGAAAAAGCCAATTTTTAACACCGGAGGGGATGAAAAGCAATACAACGATGTATAGTTGGTCAGGCGATCGCTAATGTTGAGCTCTTAGAAAGAGATCAACACATTCTAGTGAATCAAGTGGTAAGGAAAAGGCTCTAGCATTTGATATGATAATAGTGAGTAAAGAATATAGCTAGAATGTCATTCGGAAATCCACTTTCAAAATGAATAAAAGAAGCTCAAAAACACATATTGAAAGACAGCAAATAAAACGATTTGCCCACCTAGAAAGAATGCCTTGTAACTCCATACCATAGAAGGCATTAAAAAAAGGATAGGGGCTTAGATCAAGCGGTAGACCAAGAAAAGAGTAGACAGATAACATTAGAGAAATTCAACAACTGTATGAAGTGTCTGTAGTCGAGACAGCTAGAAGAGAAGGAAGCAGACGCGAAGAGTAAGAAGCTGATGCATAGAAAGAGGAAGTGAAGAAGCAGCAGTTGAACAGAACAGAAGAGCATTTGAGAATAGAGTGGACAAACTGAGGGGATGGGCATCAGGGCTGAAGCTTAAGGCGATAGCAGAAGATAGGATGACGGTGTGAGTTAGCTGAGAGTCTGTGCTGCCGTGGCAGAACAGGAAGAAGACAAGACGATCAAGAGATGATCAACGATGGACAGAGATATGGATGGTACAGAGACAATCAAGAGATGATTAACGATGGACAGAGATATGGATGGTACAGAAAAAATCAAGAGATGATCAACGATGGACAAAGATATGGATGTTACAGAGACAATCAAGAGATGATCAACGATGGACAGAGATATGGATGGTACAGAGACAATCAAGAGATGATCAACGATGGACAGAGTTATGAACGGTACAGAGACAATCAAGAGATGATCAACGATAAACAGAAATATGGATGGTACAGAGATAATCAAGAGATGATCAACGATGGACAGAGATATGGATGGTACAGAGACAATCAAGAGATGATCAACGATGGACAGAGATATGGATGGTACAGAGACAATCAAGAGATGATCAACGATGGACAGAGATATGGATGGTACAGAGACAATCAAGAGATGATCAACGATGGACAGAGTTATGAACGGTACAGAGACAATCAAGAGATGATCAACGATAAACAGAAATATGGATGGTACAGAGATAATCAAGAGATGATCAACGATGGACAGAGATATGGATGGTACAGAGACAATCAAGAGATGATCAACGATGGACAGAGATATGGATGGTACAGAGACAATCAAGAGATGATCAACGATGGACAGAGATATGGATGGTACAGAGACAATCAAGAGATGATCAACGATGGACAGAGATATGGATGGTACAGAGACAATCAAGAGATGATCAACGATGGACAGAGATATGGATGGTACAGAGACAATCAAGAGATGATCGACGATGGGCAATGGTATGGATGGTACAGAGACAATCAAGAGATGATCAACGATGGACAGAAATATGGATGGTACAGAGACAATCAAGAGATGATCAACGATGGACAGGAGTATGGATGGTACAGAGACAATCAAGAGATAATCAACGATGGACAGAAATATGGATGGTACAGAGACAATCAAGAGATGATCAACGATGGACAGAGTTATGAACGGTACAGAGACAATCAAGAGATGATCAACGATAAACAGAAATATGGATGGTACAGAGATAATCAAGAGATGATCAAAGATAGACAGAGATATGGATGGTTCAGAGACAATCAAGAGATGATCAACGATGGACAGAGATATGGATGGTACAGAGACAATCAAGAGATGATCAACGATGGACAGAGATATGGATGGTACAGAGACAATCAAGAGATGATCAACGATGGACAGAGATATGGATGGTACAGAGACAATCAAGAGATGATCAACGATGGACAGAGATATGGATGGTACAGAGACAATCAAGAGATGATCAACGATGGACAGAAATATGGATGGTACAGAGACAATCAAGAGATGATCAACGATGGACAGAGTTATGAACGGTACAGAGACAATCAAGAGATGATCAACGATGGACAGAAATATGGATGGTACAGAGATAATCAAGAGATGATCAACGATGGACAGAGATATTGATGGTACAGAGACAATTAAGAGATGATCAACGATGGACAGGGGTATGGATGGTACAGAGACAATCAATAGATGATCAACGATGGACAGAAATATGGGTGGTACAGAGACAATCAAGAGATGATCAACGATGGACAGAGATATGAATGGTACAGAGACAATCAACAGATGATCAACGATGGACAGAGATATGAATGGTACAGAGACAATCAAGAGATGATCAACGATGGACAGAAATATGGATGGTACAGAGACAATCAAGAGATGATCAAAGATGGACAGAAATATGGATGGTACAGAGACAATCAAGAGATGATCAACGATGGACAGAAATATGGATGGTACAGAGACAATCAAGAGATGATCAACGATGGACAGGGGTATGGATGGTACAGAGACAATCAATAGACGATCAACGATGGACAAAAATATGGATGGTACAGAGACAATCAAGAGATGATCAACAATGGACAGAGATATGAATGGTACAGAGACAATCAACAGATGATCAACGATGGACAGAGATATGAATGGTACAGAGACAATCAAGAGATGATCAACGATGAACAGAAATATGGATGGTACAGAGACAATCAAGAGATGATCAAAGATGGACAGAAATATGGATGGTACAGAGACAATCAAGAGATGATCAACGATGGACAGAAATATGGATGGTACAGAGACAGTCAAGATATGATCAACGATGGACAGAAATATGGATGGTACAGAGACAGTCAGATAATTCTGCTAGTCGCACAAAAAGACAACTAGTGTACCAGTATGACGTGGACAGTCAGTCAGGTACATGACAAAACCAGTAACAATGCTTTCCCAGGGTTACGATCATTCCACGGTACAAAAATACAGTCAAGTCAAACAAAAGTAGAGAACCTTGCGCTTATGTGTACTGTGCATACAGGGCAAGACCTATATTGTATAGGCCAATCGGCACTTAGTGGGTGATGTTATCAACATGACATCGGCCACCTTTACTTCCCTGAACTTCACATGGTGTCCATTCAAAGCTTGGTCCAGCTGTCAGCCAAGGTCATTTCTGAAGAAAGAAAAAAAAAAAAAAGTCCGTCTCCCTCAGGACCTGAACGCACGACCTTCAAACCCACAGTGGAAGCTCCCATAGGAATACTAGTTGTATCAGACTGATGTACTCCAGTGACCTGCAGTCTTGCTGTCATGTCTTCTCCACAGCCGACCTGCCGGGCGAGTCAGCACACTCACACGAGCTCCACATGTTCACACAAAAGACATATGAGGCTAAACAACAGACAACACTTCCACAGAGATAACAGTTAACGTGTCTACTCTTAGTCATCGAACATAAGTTAGCACATCACAAAAGGAATCTATTTGTTTCTATAACAATGTTTCTAGAACAAACACTAGTCTTTAAGTGTATGAATATAAACAGGACCAGAGTGCCATATTTAGAGGCCAAATAAAAATTAAAAATAGAAAATTCTGGAGAAATTTACATCAAAGAGATGAAGAATACACACATATACACACAGGCACAAACAACACACTCATACATACAAACATGCACATACACATACACGTGGCATTTAGTTTATTGCAGATATTGATTTGTGGATATGTAGTGGAATCTGCTGCCCATTTTAGGCCACAATGTATGATGTATGAGTGGCCAAAAAGGCAGTCGGGCTTAATAGCTGGTGCTCTACCAAAGGGGGCTGACTTGTCTGTAGGGTCACTGTTACCAGACCTGCCCATGTAGCTGTGTTAGGAAGGGGGGAATTCTCTCTCCTTGACTCCCAATTACGCTTGTACTCTCTATCCGTCTGTGTCCTGCTTAGTCCCTTTACGTGTCCTCGCGTTCTTTAATGGGTGTATCCAGCTGTCAATATATCTATCATTCTATCATCTTTCCATCTGAATACATACACTGTATGTTTGTCAGTCACTACATTTGTCTGTCAGTTCGCCCGCTTTCAAGTTCCCTTATATTCCGGCCAGTCTGTCTGCCTGTCTAGAATTATCTTTACCTATCTGCCTCGCTACATCTGTCTGGTTTGCCTGTATAGCTATATATGAATTATATAATGTCAACGTTTCTGCCAAAGCAACATCTAATCAGTTATCAATATCCCCGAGTGGGTTCTCTGAGGGTTTCGTGGCACAATGTTGGGGGGAAAGAGAACCAGCATGTCGTAAAAAGGACACATTAGGAATTTCCTGAGCTTAGATGAATTTGGTAGAGAAGAGCAGATATCGTAGCCTAGCTGTAAACCCACAAAGAAGAACTCACAACTGGAAACGTTTCCCTCCCAACCTCTGACCCTGGTCCTTCACAGCTGAAACAAGCATTCCGTTAATATGTGCATACGCCATAACGTGTCTCACCTGTGCCGAGGCGTGGAAAGTCTCCACATTCTGGGGATTCACTCCGGTCACCTTGATCTCTAGCTGCTGAACCCGCGTCACCAACAGGGACACGTGATCCAGTAGGTCCTTGTTGTGTAGCAGCAGCTGGTGAGCTCTGGCCTGTCCGTGAGACAGACAGGTGTTCAGTATATGTGCACAGGGTGTTGAATATATGTGCACAGGGTGTTCAATATATGTGCACAGGGTGTTCAATACGTGGGCACACCGAGTCAAATATGTGTGTACACCGTGTCAAATATGTGTGCACATCGTGTCAAATATGTGTGCACACCATGTCAAATACGCGTGCACACCATGTCAAATATGTGTGCACACCGTGTGAAATGTGTGTACACACTGTGTCAAGTATGTGTGCACAACGTGTCAAATATGTGTGCACACCGTGTCAAATATATGTGCACACCATGTCAAATGTGTGTACACACCGTGTCAAATGTGTGTACACACCCTGTCAAATGTGTGTACAACGTGTCAAATACTTGTGCACACTGTGTCAAATATGGTGTGAATATTTGACATGCTACAATATTGATATAAATTATGAAATGTTTCACTATTGTATGTTACATCGTCTGTTCACTCAATATGTCGTGTGTAATCCTGTCGTTATTGAGGAACGCAGCGCCGTTGACCTCTCTCAGCAGCCGACTTCTCTTGGGTTTCCTGATGTCAATCCATTTGTTTCCCATTTCAGTGAATGTTTGCTGATTCTCTTCAGGGTCTACCAATATACCACCATAATCGTTGTCTTCATATAAATGGTTACACATACACACACGCGCGAGCGCGCACACACACACACCTCTGCATTTCTATCTTTTCTCTTTTTCTTTTCTTTTTTTTCTTTCTTCCTTTTTTTTCTGTCTTTCTGTCTTTCTGTCTTTCTGTCTTTCTGTCTTTCTTTCTCTTTCTTTCTTTCTGTCTTTCTGTCTTTCTGTCTTTCTGTCTTTCTGTCTTTCTTTCTTTCTTTCTTTCTTTCTTTCTTTCTTTCTTTCTTTCTTTCTTTCTTTCTTTCTTTCTTTCTTTCTCTTCTTCTTCTTCTTCTTCTTTTTCTCCTTCTCCTTTTCATTCTCCTTCTTCTTCTTCTTTTTCTTTTTCTTTTTCTTTTTCTTTTTCTTCTTCTTCTTCTTCTTCTTCTTCTTCTTCTTCTTCTTCTTCTTCTTCTTCTTCTTCTTCTTTTTCTTCTTCTTCTTCTTTTTCTTCTTCTTCTTCTTCTTCTTCTTCTCCTCCTCGTCCTCTTCTTCTTCGTCCAGCGCTTCCTTCTGCATCGTCTCTCCTCTCTCTCTCTCTCTCTCTCTCTCTCTCTCTCTCTCTCTCTCTCTCTCTCTCTCTCTCTCTCTCTCTCTCTCTCTCTCTCTCTTTTATTTTCCTTTTTTGCATACATGATAAATTAACAAAAATAAAACAAATTACTAAAACCAGCAATACTATCCGGTCTAAACCGATGATTTTACACACACATGCACACGCGCACGCACACACACGAACGCACATTTGCACACACACATACACACATGCAAACATGCACACACACACACACGCACACACATGCGCAAACATACACCCACCGATACGCACACACACACGCACACACACTCACACACACACACACACACACGCGCACACACATAAGACCAACCTGAGCTTCGATCCTGGCAGCGGTCTCTGCCGACAGTTGATCCTTGAGCAAATGTACCTGGGCTATAGCCACCTGCAAGTGGAAGGGAAGGGGAGGGGGGGGGGGAACCACAGAAACAATGAGAGGTTGCCCCAGCCTATGCCTCACTTGCATGTTAACTAGTCAGACAAAACGTTGAGGTGACTACAGACACACACACATATGCGCGCGCGCACACACACGCATGCGCACGCACACATAGACACACAAACCCCACACCAACACCCACACCTATACATACACACACACTGTATAAGTTCATAATCATGCAAACAAGTTTGTTTCATCTGTGCTTTTTATCTTCACTATCATTATCGCCATCATCATCATCATTTTCCTCCTTGCTGGTGTAAACAAACCTTCAATTTCACTGGTAAACTTCAAACATCAAATAAGAGTAATATTTTTTTTTAACTGGTCTCCAAAATCTTTTAGATCGCGACGCTCTGAGTATATGCCAAGACCCCATTGAGTATATATCAAGACCCCATTGAGTATATGCCAAGACCCCATTGAGTATATGCCAAGACCCCATTGAGTATATGTCAAGACCCCATTGAGTATATGTCAAGACCCCATTGAGTATATGCCAAGACCCCATTGAGTATATGCCAAGACCCCATTGAGTATATGCCAAGACCCCATTGAGTATATGTCAAGACCCCATTGAGTATATGTCAAGACCCATTGAGTATATGCCAAGACCCCATTGAGTATATGCCAAGACCCCATTGAATATATGCCAAGACCCCATTGAGTATATGCCAAGACCCCATTGAGTATATGCCAAGACCCCATTGAGTATATGCCAAGACCCCATTGAGTATATGCCAAGACCCCATTGAGTATATGTCAAGACCCCATTGAGTATATGTCAAGACCCCATTGAGTATATGCCAAGACCCCATTGAGTATATGCCAAGACCCCATTGAATATATGCCAAGACCCCATTGAGTATATGCCAAGACCCCATTGAGTATATGCCAAGACCCCATTGAGTATATGCCAAGACCCCATTGAGTATATGCCAAGACCCCATTGAGTATATGCCAAGACCCCATTGAGTATATGTCAAGACCCCATTGAGTATATGTCAAGACCCCATTGAGTATATGTCAAGACCCCATTGAGTATATGTCAAGACCCCATTGAGTATATGCCAAGACCCCATTGAGTATATGCCAAGACCCCATTGAGTATATGTCAAGACCCCATTGAGTATATGCCAAGACCCCATTGAGTATATGCCAAGACCCCATTAAGTATATGCCAAGATCCCAAAGAACCCTTGATTATATGACAAGAAGGCCAGGCTCTCTTGTAGTATATTATAAACCATCCACGTCGCCTCCTCCTCCAACCGTACCCAACATAACAAAATGTGATTAAAAAGAAAAGAATGATAGATTCCGCAACAAGGGAACAACAGAGAATATGGAGATAAGTTTTGGTCTGACTGTTCTTAATCTATAATTAAATGTAGGTGTTATCTTATTAATTATATCTTTAACTGTAGATATGCAAACTTATGAAAACAAAAATGTCCTTGTCGTTCTTCCTCTTCTTCTTTCTCTCCTTCTTTTCTTCTTCCTCTTTTCTTCTTCTTCTTCTTCTTCTTCTTCTTCTTCTTCTTCTTCTTCTTCTTCTTCTTCTTCTTCTTCTTCTTCTTCTTCTTCTTCTTCTTCTTCTTCTTCTTCTTCTTCTTCTTCTTCTTCTTCTTCTTCTTCTTCTTCTTCTTCTTCTTCTTCTTCTTCTTTTTCTTCTTTTTCTTCTACTTCTTTTCTTTTCCACCATTTACGCCATCGAGGTGTTGGTAAAAAAAAGGGGTGGGGGGGGGGGGGGGGTGGAATGTAAGGATCGTTTGTACGCGTTTTCAAATGCATTTCTGTTAGGTTGCTCCTGAAGGTGTCGCTCCATCTCTTGCGTGGTCTTCCCCTTGCTCTGTGTTCATTTTATTTCTACAGTGTGGCTCTCTGTGGCAGTATGTACTAAGGTATTGGCGTCAGGTGGCCAAACCATCTCATTTGTTCTTAAATGAATTGTCTGGCTGGCTTCAGTCCTAATCTTCTTCTAGTTTCTCCATTCCTGATTTGATCTCTTTTTGTCACACTGGCAGCTCTCCTAAGACAAATTCTCTGTAGTTAAGATCTTTCGCTGGTTAGTTAAGGGTCCATATTTGGCACTGGCAGCATAGTGTCGGCTAAAAAAAAAAAAAAAGCCGTTCTTTCGACATTTGCTTTGGTTATCTTTCTATGCTTCAGAAGCGGTGTTCTTTCGACATTTGCTTTGGTTATCTTTCTATGCTTCAGAAGCGGTGTTCTTTCGACATTTGCTATGGTTATCTTTCTATGCCTCAGAAGCGTTTTTTTTTTTTTTTTTTTCCAATTACCTGATTTGCTTTCGAACATACTATGTTGACAGGTATACAATAAAATGCTTAGTTCAGGTGAAACTAAGGGACACGTTTCAAGGGTGACATATAGAATGATTATCATTATAATGCTTCGTGAATTGTAATACATATATCCGCATTAAAAATTAAAATAAATTCACATCGTTTTTATACACAAATATCCTTCCTACGTTTCAATATTTATCGTACAGAGGCAGCCAGAAATACAACATAGCTTGTATAATAAATTCAGCATGGTACTCCACATTAGAGAACGAACGAGCGAACAAAAAATTTTTTTTCAAAGGGTTACGAATTGGGCTCGCAGGCCCGTCTGACATTCAGCCCTTCTACGCACTCGTCTTTCACAGTACCAATGCCTGTTATCAATAATGCATATTATGTATACAATAAAGAAATATACAGAGGGGGACATAGAGTGTGAGGAGATCAGTTTTAGGGCAATTAAGACACTTCGTGAAGTTATGCTGAGGGTATTTTTTGTTTGGAGAACTGCCTTCCCACTGATCTCATTTTCGTAACCTCAGTATTGTCATATGATTAAGCGCATTGAGTTGAACATGTAGAGATATTTCTGACTCACTCTGTCAACAAACTTTATGGTGTACATAGTTACAGTGAATAATTTTGCAAATTTGCTATAGCATAATGTTACCCGATGAAAAAGTTGTTCTCTGAATTAGTTGTTACACATGCTATTGGTTAAGCCACTGGTAGTTACATACAAGTTGTATTTCTATCTATCTTCTTTTACCCCACCATAAATCACACATGGAGTGATGGTATTAAGAACAGCCTTACATAAATGAACATCTGTCTTAATAGTGCTCTTGACAGAGCTCATCAACGAACACTACATCTCCCCCCCGACACTTCGATGAGGTAAAAGGCGGAAGAGAAGAAGAAGAAGAAGAAGAAGAAGAAGAAGAAGAAGAAGAAGAAGAAGAAGAAGAAGAAGAAGAAGAAGAAGAAGAAGAAGAAGAAGAAGAAGAAGAAGAAGAAGAAGAAGGAAATCACACAAGCGATAAACACCTGAGGACACAAAGTGCCACCATGTGGGTGAGGATCACCCTTAGAGAAGTCCCAGAAACCGCGTTCAGCCATTATACCATATGTATGGCCGGGCTATATTGCGGTCTCTGGCAAGAGCCAGAGTAGGGCTTCAAATAACGCAAAATTGCATCCCAAAAAGGGATGACAAAATGATTAAAAAACGAAGTTGTAATTGAGTTTAATAAGCGATATGTGTGAAACGGATGTGCATACAACACTTAGGTTCTGAAATAAGACTAAAGTCCATAGTTGGACAAACACAAAGAAATTTCCGCTGGAGTTTACAGCTGGAGACAGCGAAGAAGTACCTGAGTTTGGTGCTGTTGTTGTTCCAACTGCTGTCGCACCAGCTGCAGCTGATGATGCTGAGTCAGGGGTAGCTGGGCGCTGTGGCTGCTACCGTTGCCGCTGTCTAGGTTGTCTGCCAGCAAGCCGGGCGAGGCCAGGAGTGGTGACACAGTGATGCATCCCTGCAACACAGACATGTCAGTAGGCTAGGCTTCCACTGTAGCAGCATCGTCAGATTACATATACATACACACAAAAACACATCTGCTCCAAATATGTATTAAAGATCAGCTGCCACACATATACACACACATATCCGCTCCAAACATCTATTGGAGATCAATTGTCACACACATACACACACACATATATATCTGCTTCAAACATTTATTAGAGATTAACTGCCATACCCTCACAAACACTCACACACACACACACACACATGTCTTTTAAGTGGATACAAGTGCTTCAGATATGCATCTTCCCCCATGCACAGGCACGCGATAGAGCTAACAACCTCTCACTATTCACAAGCTCTTCTCAGACCATCAGCTGTCTACAAACGGTACTCCTTTGTCGTTATTCCCTTCCTATTTTCTCCCTTCCATACAAGGCGACCTATGCCATTGTCCCGTGCGGATATGCACTAGAACGCACCAGTACTGAGTGAGCATTTAGAACGTCAAAACAATACGTAATGTTGTTAAGTGATTGTGGTCAAAGCATTCAATGTAGAAAGTCTGAAAGAGACGGACGTGTACATCCTTGAGGACGCTCTACCCCGGGATGCCACGGAAAGCATTTGTTGTATAAAGTCTCAGTCTAAAGGAGACAGACGTGTGGATCCTTGAGGACGTTTTACCCCGGGATGTCACGGAAAGCATTCATTGTATAAAGTCTGGAAGATACAGACGTGTTGTCGTGTCTCAGTGGATCCTTGAGGACGCTCTACCCCGGGACTCCACTAGAAACCTTATCGGAAAGCTGGTACATTGTCTATTGCGCTCGGCAGGAAGCCGGTAAACTTTAAGATAAAACCATTAAAAAGGACACTGTCTTGTTCAGACTGTAGAAGAGGAGATCGATGTGACTGTCCGGACTTCCAAGGTCGGACTGAGATCGATGTGACCGTCCGGACTTCCAAGGTCGGACTGTTGACTTACCGTTTGAATTAAAGATGTCATTTGAATTTATCCGTCAGGATGTACAAGCGGTTGCTTGTGTTGGCGTGTTTGAGTTTGCACCAAGAGTTTGTTTATTGCACATTTTATCATTAATCGAGTGGTCAACAAATACACCAATTGCTTATTCCCCTTGTCTTCAGCGTTGATTGCGTTTGGAAACCTTGAAGTTCATCATGTTCTGTCACACTTGGCCGGTGGCATTTGTTACATTAACGACGCCCTATTTCATTGTTGGTACGCACATCAAAATGAAGCCGCCGCACATCACAGCCATCCTGTCCACAAGAACCACTTCAATACCTGTCGCAATCATGCCCTGCTTTCATATATTTATAAATCTTTGTAGAGGCTGACACAATCTTCTTCCCGCTGAGTTCTTGGGGACTCTACCACTCTCCATAATCCGAGTGGGTCCGGGTTATCTGACCCGCAGAGACTGAGCATTGCCAATCCTGTTATGAGAACTCAGTTTCTATACCTTAGTGTTGGCAATCCAAATGAGAAGTTAACCTCGTTAGACAGCGCATGTAAAAGCTATTTGGTTGTTTCCCCTGGTACAAGTAGGTAGTTATACAAATAGAGAGACTAGTGCTGAGGTCTCATGCTAGGTAAACACGGATTCGTATTTGAACACAAAGTTCTGAAAAACTTTGTTGTTGTTATCTGCTGATTGTTTTTGTTGCCTTGCCTATCCCGAGGTTACTGCAAGGAGTTTATGGCCTCAAGAATATGTAGCAGAGATCATGACATTAGACACTCACAATTTACCTTTTGAGAATACAACTTATAACCATTACAGTGATATATTTGCCCTACTGCTATTGTATAATGTAACAGAAAAGCGACGGAGTGGCATACTATAATATATTACACAAATATAAGCAGTCGCAGCGCTACATACATTACAATTACAAATGAATGCTAAACTTTTATTACAAGGGAAGTAAGCAAATAATTGTTTAGATCATTAGAATATACGAGTTAGTGAACTTTTAAAAGCAAACATTTTTACATGGATACCACGGAAATACCTGCAGCTTGTGGGTTCTAGGGTTCGGTCAAAGATAAGTGGGTTGGGGGAGGGGGAGGAAGGGGGAATAGACCCATCGCCCCTCTCTTACCAAGCATGTCGCAAAGGTGGTTAATTAAGGATTTCATATCGGCTACCACAATCCGTATCACTTCCGTCCCTATGTTGGTATGAATATTTCATTATTTTGAAGCCCCACCCAGGTTGTTGTCGGGGCCCCTAATATAACCTACTGATTAAACGGGGTTTCTTCTTCTTCTTCGTTTGTTCCACTCCTCGACTTTGATCTTGTTCTAATTTACAAGTGTAGCTTATGCGCAAGAAACTGTTGGATCTCCCGATTCTCATGCAGATACACCACTAATTAGACGTTTCCTACGACATGCATTTATAGGTGGGGAAGGCCTTGGTGGGGTAGGGGGGTGGGGGTCTATTATCGTGTTATGAGGCGGAAAAAACACACACAAAAAGCCCTTGCCATAATTGCTATCTCTTTTTTTTGGGGGGGGGGGGGGGTCTGTATCTAAATATCTAATCAATAAGTTGAGAGATCAACCACACCAACATAATTGTATTGTACAATACAACTTGTTAGGGAGCCGCGACATGATAATGTCTAGTTTCTTGTCTGCAAGCCCCAAGGTGTGGAGTTCGACTCCGTACTGGAAGAATTTACATACACACACCCAAATATATACACATACACACACACATATACTCCCACACTTGCACCACACACCATCTCCCACACACGCACACACGTATCTCTCGTGTTGACCTAGCCAAACATGTGTACTAGAGGATGTCAAGATAAGTAATGGCGTCTGGTCTTATGTTGACAACCACACCCGTCAAGTACCGATTGGTCTAACAACATACGAGTCTAGTGGCATCACTGACCCAGGATGCCAGTGACCGGAAAAGAGCCTTTTCTCTACGATCTTCCGCGAACTTCAGGTATGTAGAGACACAACTGAAGAGGACAAAGACGTGACAACACTAAAGGTCCCTAGTTGACTCACCGCATGAAAGTCTTGCTGTGTGTGCTTCAAACTCAACTCGTTTGGTGGATTCGGTTTCTGGGTCTCCCTGTTGACGTCCGGACTCTTGGTTGGGGTATTGAGTTCTTTCTTCTCACCGCTGTCAGCTTCTGTGGCTGTAAAGTGTGACGCTACATTTGTCAGTTAGTTCGTTTTTAGGATAACTGGTTGATTGGGTGGATGGATATTTAGGTTATCGGGATATTTATAGTATTTATAATATCCCGGATATTTAAAACTCGCCTCTTTATAACTCTTGCACTCTACCGATATTTTAAGGGCTGCTTCTTTCTTCCTAACGACATTACTTTTTTTTTTTTTTTCATATACATTGTAAATAAAGTAACGGTTGAAACGAAACAGTCATAACAATAGTGTGCAAAGCCGTGCTGTTTGCAACTGTGAGTTTGGGTCAAGGACCAACTTTACCAATACGAATGTATGTAAAGGACCAACTATAAAACTATAAGTGTGTGTGTAGGACCAACTTCACCATTGTGAGTGTGTGTATAGGACCAACTTTACCACTGTGAGTGTGTGTAAAGGGCCAACTTTACCATTGTGAGTGGGTGTAAAGGGCCAACTTTACCATTGTGAGTGTGTGTAAAGTACCAACTATAAAACTGTGAGTGTGTGTAAAGTACCAACGTTACCATTGTGTGTGTGTGTAAAGGACCAACTTTACCATTATGAGTGTGTGTAAAGTACCAATTATAAAACTGTGAGTGTGTGTAAAGGACCACAGTTACCATTGTGTGTGTGTGTGTGTGTCTGTGTGTGTGTCAAGGACCAACTTTACCAGTATGAGTGTGTTTAAAGTACCATCTATAAACTATGAGTGGGTGTAAAGGACCAACTTTACCATTGTGAGTGTGTAAAGGACCAACGTTACCATTGTGTGTGTGTGTAAAGGACCAACGTTACCATTGTGAGTGTGTGTAAAGGACCAACGTTACCATTGTGAGTGTGTGTAAAGGACCAAATTTACCAGTGTGAGTGTGAGTGAAGGACCATCTTTACCATTATGAGTGTTTGTAAAGGACTAACTTTACCAATAAGGACAGTGTCAATTAACAAATATACTACGATGGCGGTGTCAATGAAAAACTACACTACCGTGAGTCTGTAAATGACTAACTTTAATACCGTGCGTACGTAAATGACAAGTTATACTACTGTGAGTGTGTAAATAACAAACTATACTATCGTGAGTCTGTAAATGTCCAACTATACTACTGTGAATGCGTAAATGACCAACTATACTACTGTGAATGTGTAAATGACCAACTATACTACTGTGAATGTGTAAATGACCAACTATACTACTGTGAATGTGTAAATGACCAACTATACTACTGTGAATGTGTAAATGACCAACTATACTACTGTGAATGTGTAAATGACCAACTATACTACTGTGAATGTGTAAATGACCAACTATACTACTGTGAATGTGTAAATGACCAACTATACTACTGTGAATGTGTAAATGACCAACTATACTACTGTGAATGTGTAAATGACAAGCTATACTACTGTGAATGTGTAAATGACCAACTATACTACTGTGAATGTGTAAATGACCAACTATACTACTGTGAATGTGTAAATGACAAGCTATACTACTGTGAATGTGTAAATGACCAACTATACTACTGTGAATGTGTAAATGACAAGCTATACTACTGTGAATGTGTAAATGACCAACTATACTACTGTGAATGTGTAAATGACAAGCTATACTATTGTGAATGTGTAAATGACCAACTATACTACTGTGAATGTGTGTAAAGTATCAATGTAACTGCACCTGTTATTGTCAGCAGCATTTGAGTCTTCTACCATCAATCACAACAGGAGAATCTCGGAACAGTGCGAGAACTGGGTGACACCGGGGGCTTCTCAATGTTTCTACACTGGAGCCGCGTGAGCTGTAAATATTCTTGCGTGTGTTGATTTCCTGGCAATCTATACTGGCTGGTTGTGGCAATCTATACTGGCTGGTTGTGGCAATCTATACTGGCTGGTTGTGGCAATCTATACTGGCTGGTTGTGGCAATCTATACTGGCTGGTTGTGGCAATCTATACTGGCTGGTTGTGGCAATCTATACTGGCTGGTTGTGGCAATCTATACTGGCTGATTGTGGCAATCTATACTGGCTGGTTGTGGAAATCTATACTGGCTGATTATGGCAATCTATACTGGCTGATTGTGGCAATCTATACTGGCTGGTTGTGGAAATCTATACTGGCTGGTTGTGGAAATCTATACTGGCTGATTATGGCAATCTATACTGGCTGGTTGTGGCAATCTATACTGGCTGATTGTGGCAATCTATACTGGCTGGTTGTGGAAATCTATACTGGCTGGCTGTGGAAATCTGTACTGGCTGGTTGTGGAAATCTATACTGGCTGATTGTGGCAATCTATACTGGAACGTGCCATATTTGTCTGTATTATTTTCCCATAGCGAAACTACGTTTAGACTGCGCTTCATCCTAAGGGCCTTAGCGTGTTTTCTTTCCGTCTGTACTTGATATGTATATTGTCTATAATGTTTTATGAATATAATGTGCTATATATATCAAAAACACCTGGTGTGTGAAAGGCGAGTGACTGGAAGGACTGAATGCAAAACGGGCCTGTGTGCCCAAACGTGTGACCCCCTTAAAAATAAAGTGTGTTCGTTCCTCATCCTTAGCCTATAAGTTGTGTTCCTGATACACTCTCACAGGATCATACGTGATAATTTTTAGTATCTTACAAAAATCAGTAAAACTTACGCACTATATGAAATTAATGATACTCTCTATTCAGGGGCGGGCACTATTTGTCCGTCCAGTTGCTTCTGATGCGAGGCCAGAATAATTGCTGGGCCCTGGTTGTAGACGACCTGATGAGGCAGAGAACTGTCACAACCAGGAGGTATCACGTAGCCACAAGTTCTCCATCATCAAGTGTTTCAGCCGCTAGGCTCGCCCGGAAGCTTCCTAATCATTCCTTCCTATAGCTGTCTGTCTTGTGCCGTTGTCTTTAATCCCATATATATCTGCACTGACAGCCCGGTGCATGCCTATTTTATCAATGCAGTTCTTGGTCTACCCGGTCCCTTCTGTCCTTGGTTTTTGCTCTCTCACTCCCTGTTCGCCGTTTCTTGGTGTCTTAAATTGTTTCAATGCCAGCAACATCTTAGTTTTATTACTCTGTTAAAATATTTGTTGTCCTACCATTTTTTATAATTTTTATTCGTTCATTTATTCAGTGTAGTTGGTTCCTGAAATGTTTCGCCAACTCCTAATCTGAACTGAATATATAAATTGCTCACGCGGTTTATCCTTTGTGCTTGTCTATGAAACATGAAATATGAACCATGAAAAATGAACCATGCCTAAAGCTCTCAAAAAGGAATGCGTCTGGTGGAGGGTATTTCACATTCTAGTCGTGGTATAAGAGCTGATTGTGTTCATGGTTGTCAGCTAAAAAACTACATCCAGTCATATCCTTGTGAGATGAAATTTTTCGTTATTTGAAGCCTCACCCTGGCACTTGTCAAGGGCCGCAATATAGCCCGGCCATAAATATGTTCTTATGGCTGAACGCGATTTCTGGGACCTCTGCACGGTAATCCTCATCCACATGGCGGCACTTTGTGTCACCAGGTGTTTATTGCCTGAAAACGTTCAGGCCGGCCGACCGAGGAAAAAATGAGAAATATTTCGCGGACCGGTTGAAGACAAAAGATTGAAGATTTTAGTTAAAATATTTGATAAAATTACACTTTTGAGCAAATGCGATGTTTGCCGCTCACAGGATAAAGAGTGTTGTAAAGGTAGACTAGGGTGTTGTTTCAGAGAGACGAAGCACTTCAATGACGTCCATTCGATTTGTCTGTGTGGTTTCCAGTGTATTCGCAACATGACTGGGTGAATAGTTCTGGCCAAGAGGGGTCCCGGACAGAAAGAACACTACGTTGCTACACCACAAAGTCAAAAGTAATGATATAAAAATACTCATGCCATCAAAGAAACAATGGGCCCAGTATAAATTATCCATCTATGGAAAATACAGAAAACAATTAGCTTTAACATCGTTTTTGAACAGAAGATAATAACAGTGTTAGTTGAAGTCAGTGTAAAATAGTTTGAGATAGAAGTTAAATTGTAATAGTTTTGGACTGAAAAATGTGAAAGTTATAGCCATTAGGCATCAAAAAATGTTTCGCATTACAGTTCTGACAGAATTTTCTTTAGGATGTAGGTAGGAAAACAATCAGAACTGACCAGGACAAGAGGTGTTCATAAATAGCTGCGTAAAAGGCATATATATATACACACTCAACACAGAGAGAGTGAGAGAGAAAGAAAGAAGAGAGAGACAGAGAGAGGAGGAAAGGTGGGTGAGAGAAAAATCACATACTTTTGGAGACCCGTCGCTCGTTGTCCTCAGATGACCTATCACTGGCGTCCTCCTTGAGCTCTGAGTGGGGTCTGGACAAGGTTCCCAACTTGTGGCACACCTCGAAGGCCTGGCCGATGGTTCTCACGATTCTCATCGCCTGACTCTGTCAACGTGATAAAACACAATGTATACATTTGTGTACAGACTACTACGTGTTCATGAATGAAATAAACACATACAGGCGTATGTTCATACATGCAGATAACATCCACGGTTATATGTTAGTACGTATAGAAAACACAAAATGTCAGCAAACGAATTGGTACACATGTTAGAGTTCGCAAAATCGTACAGAAACCTGTAGGTCTCCTTCAGTCGGCAGGGTATTTGATGATGAATCCAAATACATAATACTATATCATGAAAGATATTATCAGCTAAGTAAAGGACTCTTTCTCACACCGTCAGGCGATTTGGGTATATAGGGCTAGACCTATATTTTATAGACCAACGGAACTTGCTGGGTGATGTGGTTAGCATTAAGCTTGCCGCCTTTACTTCCCATTACTGTACCTGGTACCCATTCAAGACTGGCTAGACCTGGGAGTCAAGTGGAAGCTATCACAGTTTTTTATAATTGCAATCAATTTAATATTCCACTGACTGTGGTGATAAATCTATTTTTTACCGCCAAATGTATAGTGACATTGATTTATTTTATGACAAGCAAATAGTGTGTGCCATTTAACCAGCAGGTAGAGTGATGCACTGGTGACAAGCAGATAGAGTGTACCATATAACAAGCAGGTAGAGTGATGCACTGTGTGACAAGCCGATAGAGTGTACATTATAACAAGCAGGTAGAGTGATGCACTGTGTGACAAGCAGATAGAATGTACCATATAACAAGCAGGTAGAGTGATGCACTGTGTGACAAGCAGATAGAGTGTACCATATAACAAGCAGGTAGAGTGATGCACTGTGTGACAAGCCGATAGAGTGTACCATATAACCAGCAGGTAGAGTGATGCACTGTGTGACAAGCCGATAGAGTGTACCATATAACAAGCAGGTAGAGTGATGCACTGTGTGACAAGCCGATAGAGTGTACCATATAACAAGCAGGTAGAGTGATGCACTGTGTGACAAACAGATAGAGTGTACCATATAACAAACAGATAGAGTGATGCACTGTGTGACAAACAGATAGAGTGTACCATATAACAAGCAGGCAGAGTGATGCACTGTGTGACAAGCCGATAGAGTGATTTACTGTGTGACAAGGAGATACAGTGATGTACTCTGAAAAAGAGATAAGGTGATAAACCGTGTGACATACAGTCTGTAAAACCTAGTACCATGACAAAAATTAACACTGAGTACCCAAAGTGACATCAAAGATGTTCTAGCACAGTGTTCTCCGACCTTTTTTACACCGCCGCCCGCCAAAACAGTGGACATTGTTTCGCGGCCCATCTGAACTTGTTTGCGGCCCATCTGAACTTGTCTGCGGCCCACCAGTGGACCGCAGCCGGCCCGTTGAAGACAGAGCGATGGCATACTGCCAAGATAAACCCTCATTAACAAGAGTCTTATTAGTAGAAGAAAGCAACTTTCAGGTTTTATACTACCGTAACAAACATATTGTCGAGATACGCAGGTTGTCAAGAGTACCATCTCAACATGATGTAAAGTGTTCTGACGTGACAAGTTGAATAGTCTAGAAAATAGTTAAACAAGAAAGTAAAGTAAAGGACCCTTTTCGACGCCTTTAGGCTTATAGGGCATACAGGGCTGGACATATTTTTTAGACCACTCGGCAGAAGATCGGTGATGTGGTTAGCATCATAGCGGCCGCCTTTACTACCTGGGACTGCACCTGGTACCCACTCAAGGCTGGGTCGACCTGAGAGCCAAGGTCATTTTTGAAAAAAAGTCCTGCTCCGCCAGGGAGCGAACCCACGAGCTTCTGATCAGCGGCGAGCGTCTAGCCGCTCGGCCACAGGGACTCCCAATAGTTACATAGCTCCCACTGCATTAGCACGATGTAGGGTTTTGAAAAGAAATGTATTCTTTCGAGTTGACGTGACAAACATAACTTTATGCGGTCATCGTAATATTGAGTTAGTCAGACTGTCTCGCAACGACAAGCCAAATCAGTATTTATTTATCAGAAATCAGCTAGTGAGGAAAACAATGGCGTTAGTAATCACACACGATATGTCAGACACGATATGTACAATAGACGAGACGAATCAACGTTAAACTGACACCAAAGAGAACTTTGTGATAATGTTATAATTTACCAGAATATTCTGTTGTGACGTACACCCCTTCTAGCTAACGATCGTCGCTGACATTGATACATTTACGAGATTTTGTCACGCTATGTGCCTACGGACGAGATTTGGCACGCCATGTTGCTGCGAGTTTCTCTATCAGTTGTGACTATATCAGTCATTTTTCACCCCAGTTCACGAAGAGCTGTCAATTAGTTCTCGAGGTTTTTGTCTATGCTTACACAGAATGTAGAAAGTTAACCTCCGCGCCCCCCCCCCCCCCCACCACTTTTTCTTTTCTTTTTTCTTGTCCACCACTAGTGTACATCAGATGACATTGTAACTGTTGAGAGCCCCGTAACTGTAGAGAGCCCCGTAACTGTAGAGAGCCCCGTAACGGTAGAGAGCCCCGTAACTGTAGAGAGCCCCGTAACTGTTGAGAGCCCCGTAACTGTAGAGAGCCCCGTAACTGTAGAGAGCCCCGTAACTGTAGAGAGCTCCGTAACTGTAGAGAGCCCTGTAACTGTAGAGAGCCCGTAACTGTAGAGAGCCCCGTAACTGTAGAGAGCCCCGTAACTGTAGAGAGCCCTGTAACTGTAGAGAGCCCTGTAACTGTAGAGAGCCCCGTAACTGTTGAGAGCCCCGTAACTGTAGAGAGCCCCATAACTGTAGAGAGCCCCGTAACTGTAGAGAGCCCCGTAACTGTAGAGAGCCCTGTAACTGTAGAGAGCCCCGTAACTGTAGAGAGCCCCGTAACTGTAGAGAGCCCCGTAACTGTAGAAAGCCCTGTAAGTGTAGAGAGCCCCGTAACTGTGGAGAGCCCTGTAACTGTAGAGAGCACCGTAACTGTAGAGAGCCCCGTAACTGTAGACAGCCCCGTAACTGTAGACAGCCCCGTAACTGTAGAGAGGCCGTAACTGCAGAGAGCCACGTAACTGTAGAGAGGCCGTAACTGCAGAGAGCCACGTAACTGTAGAGAGCCCCGTAACTGTAGAGAGGCCATTACTGTGGAGAGCCCATTACTGTGGAGAGCCCATTACTGTGGAGAGCCCATTACTGTGGAGAGGCCGTAACTGCAGGGAGCTCCGTAATTGTAGAGAGCCCTGTAACTGTAGAGAGCCCCGTAACTGTAGAGAGCCCCGTAACTGTAGAGAGCCCCGTAACTGTAGAGAGCCCCGTAACTGTAGAGAGCCCCGTAACTGTAGAGAGCCCCGTAACTTTAGAGAGCCCCGTAACGGTAGAGAGCCCCGTAACGGTAGAGAGCCCCGTAACTGTAGAGAGTCCCGTAACTGTAGAGAGCCCCGTAACTGTAGAGAGCCCCGTAACTGTAGAGAGCCCCGTAACTGTAGAGAGCCCCGTAACTGTAGAGAGCCCTGTAACTGTAGACAGCCCCGTAACTGTAAAGAGCCCCGTAACTGTAGAGAGCCCCGTAAAAGAGCCCCGTAACTGTAGAGAGCCCCGTAACTGTAGAGAGCCCTGTAACTGTAGATAGCCCCGGAACTGTAGACAGCCCCTTAACTTTAAAGAGCCTCGTAACTGTAGAGAGCCCGTAACTGTAGAGAGCCCCGTAACTGTAGAGAGCCCCGTAAGAGAGCCCCGTAACTGTAGAGAGTCCCGTAAATGTAGATAGCCCCGGAACTGTAGAGAGCCCTGTAACTGTAGAGAGCCCTAACATAGTTGTAAGAAAAAGACCAGATTTCCACGCCTGCAGGCAGATTGGGCATATAGGGCTACATCTATATTTTATAGACCAACCGGCACTCAGTGGGTGATGTGATCACGCCAGCCTCCTTTACTTCCCATGACTTTACCTGGCACCCAAATGAGGCTGGGTCAACCTGGGAGCCAAGGCCAGTTAAACATAAACACGCCCGGCTCCATTTAGATTTGAACCCATGACTTTCGGATCCATAGAGGAGTGTCTAGTCACTACGCCACGGCGGCTCCAATAATGAGATTTCCTGAGAATTTCTCGTGTTGGGCTGGCAAGTGATGAGGCAGTTGTCTGGGTCGTTGGATGTCACTTTCAGGCACCATTCCTGGAGTACATATATGTTTCTTTGTATGTATGTATATATGTAGGTAAGTAATTTATACAGGTGTGTGTGCATGTATGTGTGTTTTGTTTTTGATGACCGGTGCAATATATCACCTGAACAAAAGAACTGTTATGTCTAAATTCAGTGGGCAAACTGAAGATACTTAGCAACTATGACGCTCAGAGTGCACTCACTTTTACAATTATTGATAAATTATTTATATCTTCCCAGTCGATATTGTTAAGGAAGTTACGCTCAAAAGGTTAATATTTTCACATTCAAAATGTTAATGTTTTCACACTGATGGATGTTTTGTTTGTTTGTTTTAGTATCCAGAAGCCATGAGTTGTTAACCCCTAGGCTCGGTATTATGGATATCGCAACCTTTCGGCCTTGATTCCATTGTAAATACCGTAAATCTGGGAGAAATGTGGCTTTTCTGCCTACCCCCAGGAGTGAACCCGTAACACAAGGAGTTTGTCACCCGATCAGTCCGGTTTAGCCAACTACGCTAGAGAGCCGGGCCATACTGATGGATAAATGGCTTCAATCTAATACACGTGAACCCTTCACAGAATATAATAACTCGCCCGTACCCTGTACAACTCACTCACACTGATCCGTGTGTCCACACGACAACAATTATGTCCATGCTGTAATTTCCATGATTGCTTGAAATTTCCCAGCCTCCCCGACCTATTCCTAGTTGCCTTCGGTCAGCCAATTCTAAATCCTTAGCTACACAATCACCGCTCTCAGCCACAACGCTTGAGCAAACTGGGAGACTTCAAAACAGCGCACATAAACATGGAAATGTTCTGCTTAGGATTGCTCTCCAAGGAAAA